CTCGCAGGCTGCCCCTGCCAGAGCCGTGGCGGGGACTTCGGGACGAGACCCTGGACCAAGTCAGCGGGATCCCTGGCTGCATCTTCGTCCACGCCAGTGGCTTCATTGGTGGGCACCGCACCCGAGAGGGCGCCTTGAGCATGGCCCGTGCCACCCTGGCCCAGCGCCCAGCACCTGTGCCTCCCACGAGTCCCCCAGTCAAATAAAACTTAAATCTCATATGGACCCAGCCTTGACCGATCACTACCCTACACTGTGCATGCTAGGTCTTCCTCACGCCCACCACTCCGCTCTGCTTTCTGACTCGAGTTCCAGGGGTTAAATAATTCGCCCAGAGTCACAAGTGACAGCAGGCTCTTAAAGTCCACGCCCCACCCCCCACCCCATGCAACTCCCTGGGAAAGACAGCCTGGCGACTGAGTGGAAAAGTTTTATCGTTACAGGTGGAGTTGAGGGGAGTGGGTCCGAGCAGGTGGCGGCCCCGGGAGAGGGTCCCAAGGGGCAGAGGTTGGGGAGGTCTCCGTAAAGAGGGCCACGTCGTGAACGGCGCGTCCGCCTCCAGCGGGGGGCTCCTGGGCCCTGCCGAGCACTGGGCTGAAGCGCGGGAACTGAGCGTTGACGAAGTAGAGGGGGATGTGGGCGATCCGGCCTGTGGACCAGCACTGCGGAGTATTGAGAAGGAACCTTAGCCGGCACCACAAGGCGGCTGCAGCCCCGCGTCTGTGGCCCGCCCACCCAGGGCACTCACCACGCTGAGCAGGGCCCCTTTGCTGAAGGAAGGGTGGAAGGCGATGAGCTGCGCCTGGGCGCCCGGCTCCCCCTGGATGATGCCGCTGGGGAGGGAAGCAGAGGGGCCGTGCATGGGCCGCGAGTCCCAGGGAGGCTGGGACCCGCGGGCCTGCTGGCACTTACCAGGGCAGCAGCTCAAACACGGGGCTGTTTCGCGTGCGAAAAAGGAGAATGACTGGTGTGCCGTCCTGCACCCGAGGGTTTCCTGAAGGAAATGGAGCCGGGGGTAGGGGAAGCCCTGGAGGCCAAGTCCCGCAGAGGGCGGCCCGAGCTGCCTCCTCGCCACCTACCTTTCATGAGCACAGCCAGACGCTCCCCGCTGGGGTCCCAGACCATGGAGTGGGCCTCTCCGCCGAGCCTGCGGGCCAGGACAGGCATTAGGGAAGCTCGGGGCTCCCGCCCGCCTTCCTCTCACCGCTGGTCCCCGTGCCACGCACGCACCTCTGCTCCCCCGCAGGGGTCTGGATGGTCGTCTCAGAGAGATCTGCCACTATGGCTGCGGATTTGGCACCTCCGACGCCGCCCTTTCCCTCGCCTGCGGGCAGGAGCACAGCACCCCCGCCGGCTTGGCATGGGCACCTGGGAGGTCTCCCTTTCCCTTTAGCCCTCCCAGCAGGGGCTGCCTCCCTCTGCCCCCCAGCCCTGACTCACCACCGTGTTCTGGGAAGGACAGGGAGTAAATGAGCGGCTCCCCCAGGACGGTGAACAGCAGGCGGTTTCCGTCGGGGCTCCAGCAACCAGTCTGGGGGCAGGGAGGTGGAGAGGGGGAGGCCCGGGGAACAGTAGAGGTGGGGGGGGGGCAGGAGGGGGAGTCAGACCCCGTGGTGTTGCCCTCCCCAGCCCGCCACCGGACCGGCTCCCCTGAGCCCCCTCCTGCTTACCTGACAGCGCCCCGAGAGGGTGGGCCACCTCTCACAAGTCCACATCTGGGCCTCCCACACTCTGAGTCAGAGAGAGGCAAAGGACAGCTCAGGGGCTCGGCACTGCGAGGCCTGGCCTGACCCCAGGGCTGAGGCTCCCCCGATGCCCTTCTCCCACTCACCGGAAGACAGCTGAGGGCGTGGTTGCCAGGACCTTGCTGCCGTCGGGGGACCAGAGCAGGTAGGTAACCCCACCGCCTCGAAACCAGGGAAGGGGGACGCAGGTCTCTGTGGAGACATCCCACACCTGGGGGCGGCGGCGGGTGGGGAAAACCAGCACCCTCAGCAGGGAGCCTGCGCTCTAGGGTGCACAGGACCGGGAGGGGCTGGGAGACGCGCGGACACGGGCGTGTGTGCCCAGCCGGCCTCTGGATGGGTTCAGAGCTGAAGGGACAAGGACCCCGCCCCTCCCCCACACCGTCCTCCAGCAGGCAAAGGAAGCAGGGACTGACTCACCAGGATGGCGGCGTCCACAGGGGAAGCAGAGAGCAGCCGCCCCCCGCTGGGGGCCCAGGCCAGGCTGGTGACAGGCGTGTGCCCGGGGTGAGACAGCACCTGGGCGCAGCCGGAAGACGGTCTGTCAGGGACGACGGACACGTCGAATCAGAGGACAGGAAAGGCCTGCAGCTTCCACTGGAGCCTAAAGCCTCTCCACCCCATGGCTCCAGTGAGCGCAAACCCAGGTTAGCAAGGAGCAGTAAGGATCATGGGAATAAGTTATAAGAAGTTAACAAAAAAGCAGGAAAGATAGCCACCCTCAGCGGGTCCTCCGGGGCCGGTTGAGGTGCAGCACCAGCCACAGGCCCGGGGGGCAGCGGAGCTCAGAGGCGCCTCCCTGGGGAGCAGCCAGCCCTCTGCCCAGCCGGGCAGGCCCAGCCTCCTGCACTCTCCTCTCTCAGCAGTTAGCTGGTGTCCCCAGCTCAGCCTCTCTGCCCTGCCCACCCTGTGTGTTAAGCATAGGATGAACACGCGACAGACCTGCCCCCACTGGGCTGGGGGCCACCCATGGGTGCCCACTGTAGCTTCCTTAGCTTTAGGTTTCCAGAGCCACATCGTTGAACACCACCTCCACTTCCCACCTAACTGTAATGGCCCCTGGCACCTGCAAGGCCCTGGGCGGCTGAACGGACAACAATGCCTGGCACTTTTATAGCAAATTTCATCAGGTCAGTTCACAGAGGTCCCTCTCCTTTTCAGTGGCTCCGCTGTATTTCCCTGGGTATATGAACTGGAGTTTATTTGGTCATGCCTGCACAAATGGACATTATAATAAAATTTTTAATTCTATAAAAATAATTTCCCGTAGCTGTATGCCATTATGTATATAGAACAGATTGTTCTGTAAAATGTCAACAAACTGGGGCCGTGGCTGTCACATAGCAGGTTAAGCCACTGCCTACAGTGCCGGCATCCCATATGGGCACTGGTTCGAGTCCTGGTTGCTCCACTTCCGATCCAGCTCTCTGCTATGGCCTGGGAAAGCAGCAGAAGATGGCCCAAGCCCTTGGGCCCCTGCACCCATGTGGAAGAGCCAGAAGAAGCTCCTGGCTCCTGGCTTTGGATCAGTGCAGCTCCAGTCATTGTGGCCATTTAGGGAGTGAACCAGCGGATGGAAGACCCCCTCTCTTTCTGCTTCTGCCTCTCTGCAACTCAAATAAATAAATAAATCTTTTAAAAAGAAAAAAAGTCGGCCGGCTCCATGGCTCACTAGGCCAATCCTCCGCCCGGCACCCTGGGTTCTAGTCCCGGTTGGGGCGCCGGATTCTGTCCCGGTTGCCCCTCTTCCAGGCCAGCTCTCTGCTGTGGCCTGAAAAGGCAGTGGAGGATGGCCCAAGTGCTTGGGTCCTGCACTCCATGGGAGACCAGGAAAAGCACCTGGCTCCTGGCCGTAGCAACCATTTCGGGGATGAACCAACGGAAGGAAGCAACTAGCTGCAGTTGCCAAGGCTGTCTTTTTTTTTTTTTTTCTTCATTTGAAAGCCACAGTTAGAGAGAAAAGACGCAAAGCGAGAGCTCCTGCATCCCCTGGCTCAGTCCCCAGAGGCCACACGGCCACTGCACTTCCAGTCTCTCCTGGGGATTCTCCCGGTTCTCTGGTCTCTGCCCTCACCCGTGTCATTCCGTGCCCCGGTCTGCCTTCCACACCAGGGTCCCAGGAGCCCCCGCCCATCCCTTCCCCCTCACTGGAGCTCTCCCAGCAGCCCAGCCTGGCCTCAGATCTGCTTCCCTGACAGCCCTGAGACAAGCGGTGAGGACCAAGGACACCCTTCCGGACCCTCACCACCCTCCACTGCTCCCTGGCGAGGCTAGCACCCTCAGGCCCCGGTGCTGGGTGGGCGGGGCTCACCGGGTAGACAAGGAGGTAGGGTCCAGCGTCCAGATGAGGATGCAGCTCTGGCAGGCCACGGCCAGCACAGAGGCACTGAGGGGCTTCCAGGCGAGGGCTGCCACGTTCCGCTGCAGCCGGTGCTTCAGGGAGGGGACTATAGTGCTGAGTTAAAAAGGGACGCTACAGCTCAGGAGACCCAAGTATGGTCATGGAAGAGAAACCGACACCCCCCCCCCCGCTGGAGAGCTAGAAGGGGGACAAATCCACCTACAGGGCTTCCTGGACCCCCGTTCTGGAAGCAGCCATGGGGACCAGGCTCAGGGACTGCAGGCCCCCCTCCCCGGGGCCACAGCTGGGCAGGTGCACGCCCTCCCCCCGCACACACCTGTTGGCATTGTACACACGAATCGAGTCGTCCAGCAGGGCCACGGCAAACTTGTTGGTGTGTGGGTGCCACGCAAAAACCCGCAAGCAGCAGCTGGACCTGGGCCATGGGGGAGCGTGAAGACTCGGAACTTGCCCCGCCCCCACCCCAGCCCCAAAGCTGATCCCTTCACATGAGGGGACAGGGTTTTTCCTACTTTTATTCGTTCTGGGGGGAGGGGGGCAGGAGTGAACCGCGTGGAGCAGCCAGAATGCAGCAGGAGGAGTCTGTGCCCCGACCTCCCTCTCCCCACGAGAAGTTCCAAGGGCCTGCGCACTCACCAGTTTGTGACCTGGGCAAATTCGGCAATCAGATCTTCACTCCTGAGCTGCAAGAACAGAGCAGACGGAGGACGCGCTGGGCCGCTGCCACCCTCCCCCACCTTCCCACCCAAGCCCGGGATGAGTGGGCGGGGCAGGGCGGGGCGGGCACTTACAGACAGGTGGGGGAACAGGGACCCGTGGAGGGAAGAGGCCCAGCGGCAGAGCGCCAGGGCCCAGCTGGATGCCGTCTTCACCCACTCGAACACTGCGGGGGGGAGGAAGCAGCTGTGACCGCGCCACTCACAGCGCCAGCGGCGGGCACCCCCTTAGGTGGGAGCGCGGCCGAGCACCCCCACAGCCCCCTGCCCAGCAAGTGCTCTGGACTCCGCCCTCAGGGAGCCCTGGGTGAGGAGGAGGGGAAAACAGGGCTAAAGGGAAAGCCGCTGGGTGCTGGGGTGAGGTTCAAGGCTGGGCCGGAGAGGGGGACTGGGGTGAGGTTCAAGGCTGGGCCGGGGGTGCCAGGATGAGGTTCAAGGCTGGGCCGGAGGGGGGGGCTGGGGTGAGGTTCAAGGCTGGGCCGGGGGTGCTGGGGTGAGGTTCAGGGCTGGGCCGGGGGTGCCGGGGTGAGGTTTAGGACTGAGCCGGGGGTGCCGGGGTGAGGTTCAAGGCTGGGCCGGGGGTGCCGGGGTGAGGTTCAAGAATGGAGAGAGGAAATAAACAAGGGCAAAGCCAGGGAGCACCACACAAAACCTCACCCTCTTCCTCTGAGTTTGCAATTTCATTCAACACCCCAAAAAGGCCCACGTCGCGCCTGGCAGGGAGAGGGAGCTGTGAGTGAGATCACCCCGGTCCCGTCAGCCCTTCTTTACAACTGCCATTCATTCATTCATTCATTCATAAACATGCATTAGAAATAAGGTGCTGGGGCCAGTGCTGTGGCGTAGCAGGTAAAGCCACCACCAGCCGCCACCAGCATCTCATATGGGCACCAGTTTGAGTCCCAACTGCTCCACTTCTGATCCAGCTCTCTGCTATGGCCTGGGAAAGCAGTAGAAAATGGCCCAAGTCCCTGGGCCCCTGCACCCATGTGGGAGACTGGAAGAAGCTCCTGGCTCCTGGCTTCAGATCCATGCAGGTCCAGTCATTGCAGCATTTTGGGGGTGAACTGCCTCTGCATAAATAAATCTTTAAAAAAATAAAAAAATATAAAGGTACTGGGGCCAGCACTGCGTTGCAATGGGTTCAGCTGCCACCTGCAGTGCTGGCATCCCATACAGGTGCTGGCTGGAGTCCCAGGAGCTCCATTTCCAATCCAGCTTCCTGCTAGTGCACCTGAGAAAGCAGCAGAGGCTGGCTCAAGTCCTTAGGCCCCTGCACCCATTTGGGAGACCGAGAAGAAGCTCCTGGCTCCTTGTTCAGCCTGGCCCAGCCCCTGCCTTTGCAACCATTTGGGGAGTGAACCAGTAGATGGAAGCGCTTGTGCTCTCTCTCTAACTCTGCCTTTCATCATGATGCCTGGCATCATGGCGCAGCAGGTTAAGCCACTGTCTGCAGTGCCGGCATCCCATATGGGCACCAGTTCAGGTCCCGGCTGCTCCACTTCTGATCCAGCTCCCTGCTAATGCTCCTGGGAAAAGCAGAAGATGGCCCAAGTGCTTGGGCCCCTGCTACCCACATGGGAAACACAGATCAAACACCTGGCTTTGGCCTGTCCCAGCACTGGCCATTGTGGCCATCTGGAAAAGGAACCAGTGGACAGAAGATCTGTGTGTGTGTGTGTGTGTGTGTTTCTCTAATTCTGACTTTCAAAATAAATAAATCTTTAAAAACAAATAATAAAAGGTGTTCCCATTTCACGAGCCAGCTGTTACACTAGGTGCCTTATACACTACTACTCCGTTTACTTGTCTTGCTGATCTCCTGAGCACCCTGCCCACTCCCAGGCGAGCTGCGTGAGGCTCACAGGCCCTTGGGAGCTTTGTGATCAGGTCAGGTCAGGTCAGGAAGCCAGGACTTGCTCTGCGGCAGCCAACAGACAGCTGCAGAAGGGCTTGCTGTTTTTTTAAGAGTTCTTTAATATTTATCTACTTGAAAGAAAGAGAGAGAAAGAGAGAGATTCTCTCCACTAGTTCCCTCCCTAAATGCCCACCATAGCCAGGTGAAAGCCAAGAGCCCAGAACTCCATCCAAGACTCCCACAGGGGTGCAGGGACCCAAGCTCTTGGGTCACCTTCTACTGCCTTTCCAGGCGCATCGGCAGGGAGCTGGGTTGGAAGAACGTAGCTAGGACTCAAACCAGTACCCATATGGGATGACGCGTGCATCCCAAGCTGTGGCTTAGCCCTCTGAGGCACAGTGCCTACTCTCTTGGAAGGGTTTTAAGCAAAGGAATAAGGTAGTCACATTAGCATTTCAGAAAAATCAGTCTGGGGGCTGGTGCCGTGGCACAGAGGCTAAAGCTGCCTCCTGCAGTGCCGGTATCCTATATGGGCGCTGGTTCAAGTCCTGGCTGCCCCACATCCAATCCAGCTCTCTGCTATGGCCTGGGAAAGCAGTAGAAGATGGCCCAAGTCCTTGGGACCCTGCACCTGTGTGGCAGACCCGGAGGAAGCTCCTGGCTCCTGGCTTCAGATTGGCACAGCTCTGACTGTTGTGGCCATGTGTGGAGTGAACCATCAGATGGAAGACCTCTCTCTGCCTCTGCCTCTGCCTCTCTGTAACTCTGCCTTTCAAATAGATAAATACATCTTTAAAAAAAATCAGTCTGGCTACAGGTTAGAGGGTAAGAACAGAGAAAAAGGCATCAGTGAAGAGGCTACTTGAGGAATGCAGAAAAAAAATGCACACAAGTGTCCTGAACCAGCGGGCATGGAAACAGGGAGACAGCTGGAGATTCAGGAAGCAGAAGGGACAAGATCTGAAGACTAATTAGCTGTCACCATGGGAATGCGAACATGCAGAGAAACCCCAGGTAGGAACTGTATCATCGAACAGCTTACAGCCAGGCGCTGGGCTAGGTGCTTCCCTGACCTGACTCAGGCACAGCCCCACCCTATTCTAGACATGTTGTTACCATAGTGTTTTCAGGTGAGAGGACAGAGGCGTGGAGAGCGCGTCCCAGAGAGCAAGCAGCAGGCGTCACTCGTCTGCGGGACTCAGACTTGCTCCTCAGCGAGTGATACAACTGTTCCTTGAAAACCCCCAGGAAGAAGCAGGTTTGGAGAAAGAAATGAAGACTACGTGGGAACATGCAGAATGTGTGATGTCAGTGGAACAGCCAAGCGGTGGCAAACAAGTGAACGCCAAGGGGACCAGCGCTGTAGCGCAGCGGGTTAAGCCACCACCTGGGACATCAGTATCCCGTATGGGCGCTGGTTCGAGTCTTGGCTGCTCCACTTCCGATCCAGCTCCCTGCTAATGCACCTGGGAAAGCAGTGGAGGAGGGCCCAAGCACGAGTGCACGCCCGGGTTTGGTGTGATCAGCTGGAAATCCAACCCTGGGAATGCTAACACTTCAGGGCCATCAGAAAGAGGAGCCATTGAGAAAGCTGCAAAGATGCAGTTAGAAAGGTGAGGCGGCGCCGCGGCTCACTAGGCCAATCCTCCGCCTGCGGCGCCGGCACCCCGGGGTCTAGTCCCGGTTCCCGGTTGGGGCGCCGGTGCTGTCCCGGTTGCTCCTCTTCCAGTCCAGCTCTCTGCTGTGGCCCAGGAGGGCAGTGGAGGATGGACCAGGTGGTTGGGCCCTGCACCCGCATTGGAAACCGGGGGGAAGGCGCCTGGCTTCTGGCTTTGGATCGGCGCAGCGCCGGCCGTAGCAGCCATTGTGGGCTGAACCAACAGAAGGAAGACCTGTCTCTCTCTCTCACTGTCTAACTCTGCCTGTCAAAAAAAAAAAAAAACCAAAAAAAAAAGGTCAAAGGTGAGACGGGAGGAATCTGCAGCCAGTGACCTCCTGTTCCGCCTCACTCCCACAAAGAGACACGCAAATTAAACTGTGCTGAGACACTGAGCATCACAGGCCGATAGGACGTGAGCAGAGAAACACCGTCTTACGTTGCTGGTGGGCCCATACATGCGCATGTGTACAACTTCGTTAGAAGACTATTTGGCACTAGCTCATGAAATTACAAGTGATCATACCTAGGAATTCATCTCCCAGGTAACAGTAACAACAGCAAACCCACAAACCTAGGTACTAAGTGTGTTGCACCTGTCAATTCAAGCAATCATTGCAGTAAGAAGCCAGGCTCCATTTCACAGACAAGGAAACCGGGGGACACAGCAATTAAGTGGCTTGCCCGAGGTCACAGAGCTCAAAGTGGCAGAGCCAGAAGACAACTCGGCAGCGCGGCTCCACTGCTGCAGGTGCATAATGAGTGAGATGACTCAGTGCCACCTTAGAGCTAACTCTGCAGGGCTTCACACAACAGCTCAGAAGTGGCACCAGCACCAGGTAGGTAGGGGAGGGGAGCTGGTCCACAAGATCCAACCAGAAGGGGCCAGCGCTGTGGCGTAGCGGGTAAAACCACCACCTGCAGTGCCGGCATCCCATCTGGGCACCAGTTCCAGTCCCGGCTGCTCCACTTCCGATCCAGCTCTCTGCTATGGCCTGGGAAAGCAGAAGATGGCCCAAGGCCTTGGGCCCCTGCATCCACGTGGGTGACCCAGAGGAAGCTCCTGGCTTCCAATCAGCAAAGCTGATGGGGCCATCTGGAGAGTGAACCAGTGGATGGAAGACCTCTCTCTGTCTCTCTGTAACTCTGCTTTCACATAGATAAATAAATCTTAAAAAAAAAAAAAAAAAAAAAAAAAAAAAAAGATCCAACCAGAAAACCAGGGGAGCCATTGGAGAGCAAATGGAACTGACGTGCCACAGGCTTGGGTTCCACAGTGAGACCTGACTGCTCACTGTGCCGTGTGATGGAGAGGGCCTGAATAAAGCAGCCTCCTGTAGAGCAGCCCGAGGCAGGGTGTGGTGACCACGGTGCCCCCCGGACCCGCGGCCGTGACCTCACCACGCGTTGATGCATCTTTTCCACACTTGCTCCCGGTGATGGATGAAGGCAGTCCTCGTGCCATGGTCTAGCCTCCCAGGAGTCTTTAGGGGGTCCTTGGTCAGATGTAGGACGGGAAGATTGATCCACTACAGGCCAAAGAAGTGAGGGGTGTGGCTGAGTCAGAGGCACCCCCAGATCCTCAGCCCACGGGGGGATGCGAGCTGGGGGGTGGGGTGTGGGTTACGGCTAAGAGGCTCCAAACCGCCTCCCACTTCCACAATCTTAACACTTAAGAGAACGGGAAGCAAACAGCTCCTTGATCTGTAGAACCAGGACACCGTTTCCCACGGTTGCTCCGATGCAACCGGTTCACACTGACGCAGCCTCTGGCCTAACGTCAATAACGCCCCAGGAACACGGCGGGAGGGCAAAGCTGGGTCTTCCCAGTTCTCCCGGACACTACTTCCAACTTTTTTTTTTTTTTTTACTTCCAACTTTTTAATAGCCATCTCAGTCCCTAGATTCGCTTGCACTCTCCCCACCCCCTCCAGGTCTGCCCCCTGCTACTCAGCATCCCTTAACCCCGACCCTAAGACACATCCCAGCCCGTCCAGCCTCCCAGGCGCTTCTAGTAGCCCAGTCTCTGCCACCCCGCCCTCACCACGCGGCGACCCTTCCCCAGTTCTCACTGACCCCGCCCCCATGCCTCAGGTCCCCTCCCTCCTCGCCCAAGCCACCTGGCCCCGGAAGTCGGGAGGCGGGCTCTCGTAGCTGCTGCCCGTCACCAGCTCGTTATTGTGCTCATATAG